ATTAACACTGACTGAGAAATTTTAAAAGAAAGAAAAGCATTATGGCTTTTGTTTTGATAATATGCAGAATTAGCTGCTGTAGAAGCTAATCATGTTGAAGGTGTTGACAGAAGGCAATACATGGGAGGAGGTGCTGATACAGAAATCTTGGGCCAACACATTGCTGTTGCGGAGGAATCCTGATAAATCCTCCTCAACAGCACACGTGTTTCCCTGTGCGCCTTCACAGTGAAGATGTGGAGATTAGCATCAGTACGGGCCCTCAGCAGTGCCTGATAGTGTTGCATCTTCCTCTTTCTAAAGAAGTCTGTGATTGAAATCATTGCTCTTGAGGTTGGCATTTCTGCTCTGCACTTTTTTTCTGCCAGACTGAGTACCCTGCATAACCTGGGCAGCCCGTGCCCACCTGGGAGGGGAGCACACAGAGCACCAGGTGTCTGCAGGGGTTGCTCTGCTGCTGCCCCGAGATGCTGCCAACATGTTCACAGCTCTAACACTGCTTGCTAGGCGAGGAACCATTGGCATTTTATGGTGTCCCGCTCTTTTAATAGGAATCTTCAGGTTGAAGGAGACAATGCATTTGCTTGGGATGCTTAGTTAGCCTAGCACCAGTACAGAGGTCAAGAGGCATTCAAAAGGCAGAAGAATTTATATATGATGACTTCATTTGTACTGGGCGTTCAGTAGAGAATCCTAAGGTCAAATCTATTTTGAGTCTGAGAAATCTCTTCTTTGTTTTGCACATGGCTGAACACTTTTTGGTGGGTGCTGCGTAGCTGCATCCCTAGCTGTTCCCAAAGAGGTGCCCAGCAGCCTGTTGCAGTGATTTTCTTTCTCATTCCTTCTTCAGTTTGCAATTTCTGATTGGTTTTGTTCTGCTAGCTGTCCTTCCAGACAGTAGCACCACGGCAGATGTATTGATCCAAGCTGACAAGAAATGGCACTTCCTGGATGTTGCTTTTCTCTTTCAACTTCTCTTCCCCAAGTCAGCTGTTGTGGATGAGCAGGAAAAACACAAAGGTGATGTCCAGCATTTGAAAGCTTTCTGCTGCTGACGTGGGGCAAACCAGACACAAGCCTCAGACCAACTTCCTGAGAGGCTCAAGGGCAGTAAGTTATGTAAACAAGAAAGTATCCAAATTTGTGCCGCAGCAGCGGACGACAGGATGCTCTGTGGAGCTGGGGTTCAGTTTTGTCAAGTTAGACACTCATTTTTTTTTCTTTAGTTGTAAGCGACAGCTTCAGTGCTGTTACAAACATTTTCGCTATTTTGGGAGTAAAAAAGAGAATAGAATGGAGGTGGGGGGAGAACAAAAAAAGATGAAAATGTACTGTATTGAGAAAGTACTTGTACTAAGTATTGACTTAAGTCACACAGTGACTTGAAACAAGTTCTCAGGGCATTTGTCTGCACATGATAGATGTCTGCTTGTCAAAAATGCACATACTGTGCTCTGAGTCAGAGCCATACAAAAAGTAAAATGTTTGATCTGCAGCCTATTAGAAAACAAAGAGCCAAAAAAAAAACCCCACACATTATAACATCTTTTATCATCCCTTTGAACAAAAGAGGCCACCCAGCCACAGAGGTACGCTAATATTAAATTTTCAACGAAGTGACATAATACTAAGTTAGGGTCATCAGTGCCCCGAGACCACTTCAGCAGCCCTCACCCTCACTTTAAGCATGAGCATATTGCAGTTGGTTGGGTGCTTCATCCCTCAGCTGAATCTGAATTACAGAGCATTTTCTATAAGCCAGCCCCACGAGATGGCACAGGGATTGGAATTAAAGGAACAGCTTCCTCCTGCTAATTCTGTCTCTGCTCTGACCAAGGAAGGGAGGTAAATGTCTTCTCCATGATTGAATGCCAACCAGGAACAGTTTCACTGTTGCTGGCTCAAACTATTTCATGTGCTTTTTGTGCTTTGAAAACCTGAAAGCTTTGACATGGAGCATACTATGAACTGATGCCAAGCTGTGACTAAACAATCTCATTAAAAATGCAAGGTAACTGAAGCAAATATTTCCTTTGAAGAAGCTCTATCAGTTAAGTACTCATTTCCTCTTTTAAGTCTTACATTAAAGGGGCAAAGACAGGTGGGCTGATAAGAGCAAGATAAAGCTTGTTGAGTTAGTTTACCAGCTAATTTGGAAAAAAAGCAGAGTCTTGTTTCATGCAGTTTTAAGAGTTCGTATCACTTGTATTTGTTGTATGAGGCATCAACTGTCTAAATATCCAGTGTAATTGTGAAATGTTTTTGTGTGCACATGTAACCCGATATGTTTACATATTTTCCACAAGATGTAATATTAGTAAGATAAGATCTCACCTACATAGTACCCATAATCTCTGATGCTAATTCCAAGCCTCCAAGTAGGCTTTCCTTTACCAACAGTGAACCCAAACCACGTACAGTAGTGATGTTTGTCTCAGTATTACTAGAACTGCACTAGAACCTGGGCATGCTTGGTGATAGCCCAATACTTGGCTCCATGCTCCACCAACAATGATCCAAAAAAAAACTCACCTTATGTGAGTCTGCTGTGTGTTTCTGAAACAATTCAACCATGCATTTTCTTAAAATTAATGAACAGATGAAGTAATTTTCTGTAGTGGGGCATTCTGGCTTACACCATGGTCAGTGGATTGCTCCAGGAGGAAGAGGTTTTTTGGCTAGAGAAGTACAACAGCCCATGTTCTCAGCCGTCGTTGCCTGTTTCTTGTAAGGATCTGCTCTTTGAACTGGTTTGTGGTACCTGCTGCCAGCCATCTCCCATGCGTGCAGGCAGGAGACGCCTCCTGTGCAGGCTGAAGCGTAGCTTGGCCCTGACATCCCAGAGGAATGCAGTAGCTCTAGGATACGAGTGCAGCTGATGGCATTAATGAGCAGTTTTATGGTAAGGTGAGCAAACTGTTTGGCATCTAGGTACACAATATGCTTGGCAGGACCAACTTCAGTGATTAACTGTAATCCTGTCACTCATTTTCTCTCAAATTCTCTCTCAAGTCATTTTAAGATACAGAGAGCAAAAATCTTTCATTGCTTTCCTAGCCAAAACATGGGACGCTGTGTAGAAGTCAAGAAAACAAACTTGGAAGCGTCCTATAGCATAACTGTTGTGAGTCTGCTCTACATAACAGACCCTCTCATGGATATTTTGCCCACAGATGTTAGGAGAATGTAATTGCAGTTAATAATAAAAATGTATACAGTAGTGTAAGGCTAAAGGCTAGGCCTGGAAGGATTCCCGTTGGTTTTAATAGGCTTTGGATAAGGCCCTAAGAAAACACAGAAGACACTTTACAGAACAGACTAAAATCATGCTTAATTTTTTTTGGCACACCACTAGCCTTTAAACCTCTACCCTTTCCCTTTTCCATCCTGTGAAAATGCAGAAGTATTTTGATTCCAATGTACAAAGGTGCTATGAGGATCAGCCTCCCAGACTGGGCAGCTCTATCAAGATTCTGGGAGGGTTAGCTCTGACGCACAGTATGTTGTGTTGCTTTACAAAGCACACAAACATCCCATTACTGTTCTAAAAGGTTTATCAAGTGAATGTATAGATTTCTTATTCCTCTCAGGGGATTTCTAGCACCCAGTTGTGAGTCATAACATTAAAGTCTGGAAGGAAAGAGCATTGTCGGAATTGTCTTTTACCTCTTGTTTTAGCGGTCTCCCAAGCTTTTCTCTGGGTCAAGATGCATTCAACTTTAGAAGATGGGAACATGAGGGATTACGAGACATCCGTGACTTTTTCCATGAGAAAGTAATAATAAACTTTCAGTAATTTAAGGATAAGTTCAAGCTTTTCTCTGGAGACTTGTACATGTATTTGCAAATGAGATAGTTCTGATGTCTGCTAAAGAAAAAAAAAAAATATCTCACAACAGGAAAGAATTCGTTTGGAGGAATCTCTTCTCCGCTGCCGAGACTTTTAACCATTGTCTGCACTAGAGAAGCTTCAGGCAGGGTTCCCAGCATTGCAAACACCAGCTCTTCTCTGCAGGAACCAGCAGTGAGCAGAGCCCATGGGTGTGTGTGTTTCCTCGTGCTGTTTGCAGCACTGCGACCGTTCGCACAACAGGCTGTGAGGGCCAGATTCTGATCACATTGCGATCTAGTGGGCGCTTTGCCATTTTCATCAGTAAGATTAGGATTCTTTCTAATGCAGTGGTGCGGAAACACCAGGGCTATAAAGCCACATACAGATCTTACAGCTCTGAATCACAGGGGTCTGAGCAGGAGGAGCGTGGTGCTGAACTCAGGGCAGCTGAGGTGGCCCTGTCCCCACACAGGGCACTGCTGAGGGCTGGCTGGACACCAGGGCTGCTGACAGGGGCTGCTGGCAGCTCATGGGCTGTCGGTAGGTGACCACAGCCCCCCAGTGACTAGGGGTGCAGGGCAGGTGAATCGCCTTCAAAGTTTGGCCAGATCTGTGTCACCAGTAAGAATCCAGCAGCTTCTTCGGGTAACTGGTGGTTCATTAAATACGTTCATGGCCTATGACTTAAAAAATAAATAATAAAAATAAATTGGAAACAGTTTCCTAATCACTTTTCCTTCTAATGTCATTAGCTAAATACATTGTTTGGAGTGCTGCTTATTAGCCAGTGTGCTTGCTGGAATGTGAAATATAGAGTGGTAACTCAGCATCTTTAAAATATAAGAGCAGGCTTGTTGAACATGTTCAAATATCAGCATTACAATTCGAGTTCATCTACTATCTGCAATCCTGGATTAGTGACCATGGTGTCAGAAACCAGGCTTGTGTCTCCTGCAAGGAAAAGGACACAGCTGAGCAGCGTTCATTGCGTGCTGCCTCGCAGCATTGTCAGAAGATTGTGTCCTTCATAACTTTAAAGATGCTGCTAGTCCCTCTGGCGTGCCCATTACACAACACAAATTGTTTTGCTCCATTTCCCTTCACTGGGCTTTTCCTCCTACCTTTTGTAATATAGACTGAGGTGCAAAAGGAGCCTTCACTGTTTTGTGTTTTTTTTTGTGAGAAGTCTGTTAGTATAATCGCTGAGTGGTGAGTGGATCCTTCTAGCAGGTTTCTAACATTTTTTTATAACAGTCCTGGATTGCTCTGAGCAGCAGAGGTAGCGAGATTTCTTGTGTGAGGCTTAGAAACCAGCTCTGCATCTGGTTACGATTTGTGACTGGATCTTGTGTTAGCTGTGCAACCCAGGAGATAGCTTGGATCTGAGGAAGAGAAATTCTTCCATTTGTGCCAAAGGTGACAGCTCTTCCCAGGAAAGCTTTGTCCTGTCCCTGGTGGACAGGCAAGGGAGTATGTAGGGCCCAAAATTATGTTATTGCCTTTATTTTTTTTTCCATCTCTTTCTGAATGTTCTTTCTGGGCATAAGTGGCCCTTTAATGGAATTATTTTTTCCTGTATCTCATCACAAGAGCTGCACATTCATCCTCGTGTTTGGAAAAGTTTCTAAATATTCACATAAGCTTCAACATTATTTATTTTCTTTTGTAGCTTAATAAAATCTTGGGTTTCATTCCGACTAGCTTTCTTGAGGGATTTACAGAAGGCGAGTGGGGCTGGAACACAAGGCTGAACCAAGAGACAAAGGAAAACAAACAGCTGTGTGAATACCTGGCCTTTGCTTGGAATGCAATGATGCAGCTTCAGCGCTGCCTCTAAAAAAAAGTTGGTAAATTATTAATGCTTGGAGGAGGAAATGAACATAGTAGTGGTTCTGCAACGTCTGGGTTGCTCTGAAATGCCATGGATTTCTGCAGGCTTCTTCCACGGTCCTGTTGAGCAGTTTTTACCCCAGCTGTTTGCTCCTGTGTTACATTTCCACCCTGTTCCTCCCGGCCGCAGCAGTGCGGGTGGGCTGAGGGGACTGCTCGTCTCCCTCTGGGCAGCTCCGCGGGGTCTTGCTAGGGAAGGAAATAAAGGTTAGACTGGACAGTCTTTTCTTCCCCTGTTTTCTCTTCTTGTTTCTTGAACCCATTCAGCAGACGTGAGGTACTTCTCTTCTGAGGTGACAGGCCCAGCCCTGGAGGTGGCGGTGCCCTGGGCCTCCCCGCACAGGGCACCTGAGGAGCACTGGGTGACGTGGGGCTGGTGATGCTCCTGGCGAAGTCTTCTGGGCCTTCCCTTTCTCCTGCTGCTGTACTTCAGCCCTTCTTGCTGGCAGGCCTAATCCAGCACCACCCATCTGTTTCATGCATTTACCATCCAGCTAATGTGTGTGCACCTCCCAGATACTTCACAAATACGTTCTTCTTTCCCAGGTTATGAAGGAAATTGCCCGATAGCTGTGTATTCATGTGGAAAGCGAAGGAAGAAATAAAAGTCCAGCCCTTTTAGTTCTGACTGAGGTGAGCCCCGTGGTGATGTTCTTTCCTGGGGAATAATTTCAGTGTCAGAGACTAGCACCAGAAAACCTCTTTCTGGAGCAGTGTGCTGACACTGCTTGGCAGTTTCCCAGTTTTGCTTGAACGTAACTGGAGTTGGAGGCTGATGCTGCAGGAGAAAAAGGTTTGTAGGCAGCCATTCTTCCTTGCCACTGAGGGGTCAGTATCTCACAGAGCAGAATCCCTTGTCTGGTGTAGGCCAGACAGAACAAGTACATTTGCTTCTGTCCCAGGCTGGACGTGGCTCCGCAGTCCAGGTAGCACTGAGGAAAGGATGGCAGTGATGATTTCACACTACCAGCATGGTGGTTTTTTTTTTTCTTTTTGTGGTTGTTTTTTTTTTAGTTAATTTTCAGAATAAGACAGGAAAAGAGATTTTGATATTTCTAGCCAGAATAAATGACGATGAAACGAAAATTGACATTTAACTTTAAATTCCTTCAGATTCCTGAAGAATCTGGTATATTTTCTACCCAAAAAGAGTGCATGGGAAAGCAACATAGTAGGAGGGGAGATATTTTACCCTTTAAAATTTCTAAGACTCTTTACAAAAAGTGAGGCACCACATCTAAAAATATTCTGATACTCTATTTGCAGATATCTCAGTGTAGTTTTATAGTGGAAATTTTATCATTAAAACAGATCTCTTCTGTGAAATGCAAACTAAGCTGTAGTAAGAGGTTATATTCTATGGGTTTTTTCATGTAGCACATCACGTAAATCCACACCATCCTGTACAAGTGGCATAAGCACAAAGGGAGGGCTTTGGTATACATCCCCCTTCCTTTGTGCTACAGGAGCTCTTCACTGTATTAACCCTCAGATTTATTTTAGGCACTTGGGACAAATTAATTTCATTTGAAATATTCTTTATAAATATCAAAGATTATCTGAAAGAAGTTTATTTAGTTTTAGAAAATATAAAGCATTTTTTAGTAAACAAATTTATAATCTTTTTCTTAAAATGGAGACGTGGCTTGATTTCTCTTAAAAGCAAATGAAATCAGACAACACGGAGGAGTAGCTAGAATAAAAATATTGGAGTAGTTAATGGTGTTTTGCATTTTAAAACAGTTTTTACTGAGTCATTTACTATAAACATGGCAAACGAGATGTATTCACTTTAAAGGCCCTTCTATTGTGTTTATCAAATAACTGTTATAGTATTTACAATGCTGTATTGAGTTGGAAAAAATCTGAAGCTGTTTTGTGTATTTTCCCTCAAGGTTAAAGCTTTGAATCATGGGATAATGTGTGATATCTCTAGGGCTTCTTGAAACAGTTCAAGAACATGCACAAAGGACTGTGGTTTGTGCTATATTTGCACAGAATTTAACATCATGTTCCTTTGGCTGAAGAGCAAAGATGAAAATATCAAGGAAAATATCCTTTGCTTTAGCACCACAGTATACATTTTAACACACACACACACAAAAAAGAAAAAAAAAAAAAAGGCAGCTTTAACTGCTTTGCCAGGCGCAAAAGTTAGTCACACGCTATTTTTCTCTGTCGTGATTTTTCTTCAAAACTGCCCCATCAGCCTAGCAGGAGGAGTGAAAGGAAATGTGCTCCAAGTAAGAGCCATCCTTTTTTCAGTTAGAATTTACTTCTGAAAGAAGTTACTTGTGGTTTGTTTATACCATGGCAAGCTACAGTATTTAAACTTAAAATATTTCTCACATTTAGAAAAGTAATTGTCAAACAAGTATTTTGGTCAGTTAAAAGAACATCTGTAGGAAGTTAAAACTCCCTGGTTTGCATTGGTGAAGTGTAACTCTCTGGCTTCTTTCAACAGAAAAATCCCAAGAAAAGCTACGAGGTTCTAGAATGAGAGTTGTGTTCTTCTCTTTGATTAATTATGATTTCTTCTTAACTGCTGGGCAGAGGTTATACAAGCCAGCTTGCGTTTGCGTTAAGAAGTGAGTTAACTCGTACTCCGGAGCTTTACAGCAGCATCTGCCTGCCTAAAGCTGGGTGCATCTGCAGGGGTGAGAGCCCATTCCTCACCCCGCACTCCTGCAGCCCGCAGGTCAGACACAACACCGTGCACAGGCGTGTTTCTGCTCCGTGCTTTTACAGGCAGCTGTAATCCCTCACACATACACAAAAAAAAACAACAAAGTTTACATTTGTAAGAAAATACCTTAAGTTCTCGGACCGTGTAATTAGCTGAAGGAAATCATCACCGTTCTTGCGTCCTCTAATATTTTCCTTTGCTTATGCTTACTTCAACGTTTGCTGTCAAGATTAATGCATGTATTATTTTGTAACTCGCTGCCGTCTGAGTTATTGTCTCGGAGTGGTTTCTGTCTGTATAAATATGCCAGTTCGAGAGCTCTCGGGTATTCCCGTATCCAGATGCCTCACAGTTTTCAACGTATTTCTCCTCAGAGCCACCCACGGAGCCATTGCTCAGGCACACAGGGAATAAACAACTCGGCCGGGGTCACACAGAAACTCTGTGGTAGACCAAGAACTTGAACCCTGGCTTCCTCAGTTCCCTGACTGCTCTTTTTCCTACTTCTTTAAACTCGCTCTTCTTAGGGGGAAAACCGAATGTGCTTCACTTCATGCTTGTTTAGTTGCTGGGGTGGCGTGTGCGCTGTATATAAGGAAAATTTGCGTGTATCCCATGCCCCTGACGTCTGTGAGAGATGTTTGTGTCACGGGTGAGTGGTCTGGGAGCTGGGCGTGAAGCAGGGCTCAGCACCGAGCGGTCTCACCCTGCCTCGGGTCTTGGCTGCGCCCGGGCACCTCCCGCGCTTTTGGAAGTCTGTGCGGCGTCGGAGGGGGCTTGCACAACGTCCTGCATCGCGGGGGGGGTGTCAATGCAGTGCACCAGATTTTATCTATATTTCGCTGCCATTCTGGAGTTTGTCGAGAAGCCAGGGGCTGGCAGGCTGTTGAGTGACCAAGGGAGGGATGGAGGAGTTCGTTTGATCTCTCCAGCATTTGGCCTCCGGACATTTGTAGCCCTGCTTCTATCTGGAGTTACATTCTTTCCTGTGCAGAAACAGTGTGGTATTTTATGACTAGAAAAAAAAAAAAAAGTGAATTCGAACAGCTGTGTTTCTACCGTGTAGTGTACAATTTGCTATCTATTTAATCTTCACTAGAATAAAATACAAAGTGCTGGTTTTGATCTCTTGTCTTTTTAGGAAGTTGTCTGTGAGTGTATTTTCAGCGTCTTTATTGTGTGTGTGTGACAGCTCGATATGACTTACTGGTTCTGCACTTTCTTCATAGCCTTACTTAAATATTGCCTGACTTGTTTTCCAGATATTTTCAAAGGCTTTATGAAAGCTTAATATTTCTGTAGTCTCTGTACATGAGTGATTGCATGCAACCTGTTATGATTCATTCTTCTAGAGGGGTTTTTGAAGTCAGCACGTTACAACCTAGTTATGAGTTGCAGCTAGTTCTCCAGCATGCTGCATCACGCTCATTATCTTGCACGTTTTACAGCTCTGCTGTGCGCAATCTTTGGTGGTTCTGTTTGGCAGTGGCTTGGTTGTATGCTTTTACTCAGCTTTGTTTTGCTGTTTGATCTGTCTCTTCATCGGTTTATGTTCGTTTTGAATGGTACAACTGTACTCTGAGTGATTTGCCCAATCAACACTTTTTCTGGCATGGAATAGAGTGCAGAAAAAAGCCCATGTAGACTTTTGAAGGCAAAGCCTCAGCCTTGGTGAACTGTTATTGCTCCGTTGACTGCGGTAGAGAAAGTGCAGGTTTAGACGAGCTGCAGCTGTCCCTAGCGAAACACTGCGCGTACCTTTATTAACCTTCGCAGCTTCATTTTTCATCTGTGCCTTCAGAAACAAGCAAAACGTGCTAGTGAAATGGCTGTCTGGTTAACAACTAAAAGGTTGCTGGAGAAAGACAACAGCCTGAGCTTCCAGACCGACTGCATTTCTTCATGACGGTGATGAATTTTGCTCAGGCTGTTTCCCATTGCTTTGGCTTTCTGTGGTCACTCCATTAAAATAAGCATCAAATTGGACGGCATCTGCCAAATGCAACAACACTTTAGAGCTAGAAATTGGAAATAAGGGACTAGTTTTACACTGAAGTTAACACTGAAGCTGTTAACCTACGTCCTTTATTTCCCCATTAATATGGTCAGCTTCAAGGGTGGCAACACTGATTTGTGCAGGAGGTGGCTGTCTCATGGGCATGTCTAAGGCTGTGCTATTTCCATCTCAGCGAAAAAATATAGCACAGTTACGCCAACTGAGAAATACACAAAATGCACATCTTTGAGTTGTTTGCAATAATAAAACTGCTTCCATGCACAATTTCTTCTTGTAACTGTGTGACTGCATTAGTGATTGCCTTCACAGAGTATCTTCTGTTTTTTCTTTTGTAGCTGCTTGTTTGCTCTCACGTAAAGCAGAACTCCCTCTTGGATTCAATCCATTTGTCTTCAGGAAACTCCTGGGGCATTTGGGTTATTTGTTCCAACCTTTTCTTCCCTGCGTATTTTGAAATTATGCTCGAGAAACAAACAACAAGATACAATTCTTGTCTTGAGGAGTTCAGAAGTCAATGTAGAGAGGCAAAATCAAGCCGTGAAGAAGTGTGTTAAGGGAAGATTAGACTATTGGTGGTTAATGAGTAAAAAGAAAAAAGATGGTCCTGGATAAACAGACTGGCTGATGAGGTTAGGAGAAAAAGGTGGCTGAAGAGAAGTAAGAAGCTCTTCTGGGTGTAAGCAAAAGATGCAATGCTGAGAAAATAATAGCGGAGACAATGATAAGGGAGGAGTTGGAGGGAGCAAAGATGTAGTTGGTGTGGAAAACATACAGAGTATTGTAACTGAGGAAGAAGCTTTTTGAGTTTGCAGTAATAACAGGAAACCACTGGAGAAATTCAGAGGAGATTTTAGCAGTTCACTTCAGGGCGGAGTGGAGAAGAGTCAGGAGGCAGGGAAGCCTGACAAAGAAAAGCAAGGACAGTCAAGATGGCCAACCAGTGACAAAGAGTCTCAGCAGTCAGCAAGTGCAGAGCTTGAAGCTGCTGAAGAGAGAGAGGACAGATTTAGACACTGAGTTTATGCTGTCTAGTTTTTACAGTTGTTTGTAAAACTAATGTTGTAAACACCTGTAAGTTTTTATTTTATCTTCAAGACAAAGCAGTTTTAAAGCAGGGTCTTCCTGCCTTTAAAAACAAACAAACAAACAAGCAAAACCACACTGATTTAGACTATTTTTTTTTTTTTTTTTTTTTAATTAGAGAACTGTCTCTGTTGTTTGTTTCCTTTATGGATTGTTGAATAAGTCCGAAGTATGCAGTATATAGTCCTAGGTTTGAGATTCAAATGGGCAGCCTAGAAACTTGGCAGTGCTGTGCATTGTTTCACTAAAACCAAGTACAGAAACCAACTCAGGTTTCTTATCCTGCTGGCCAGAGGAGCTGGGATGTTTCCTGAAGGTGAAACACTTCAGAGGGAGGAAAGCGTGCCAACTGCTACAGTGAATGTCAGGAGCTGGAAGCATAAAGATCATGTTGGGGAAAAAGAAATAGCGCATTGCAATAACAGTGAATTGCAATTCTTCGGAAAATGTTTAGACAGATGTCTTCAGAATGGAGGTAGGATGGGGAGATGTCATGGTTCAAATGATCGTACATTTGCTGTGTATTCCCAGAAAAAGGAGAGGGGGCTGAATTAAACAAACATATCAGACAAATGTGTTTTGAAGGGTATATTGAGTTCAGTAACCTTACATGACCCAGAAAAAAACAGTTTCTTCTGAATTCTGCATTGCTGAGAAAGACGGTCTGCTTGGAGTCCATAAGAAGTCAATGCTAACAGAACTGGATCTACTGGAACATTTCCGTAGTTTGCTGTGCTAACTTCACAGGGTTAATTTTGGGAACTCAGCATATTCTGGGGACATGACACGCTCTTCTGAAGTACAGAGCACCTCAGAGCCCTCACTAGCTTCACTTGCATGGTCAGCACTTCTGCAGCACAAAGAGCATCCAAAACTTTAAAGTACGATAAATAGTGAAAATGTTTGACCTGGGATTTTTCCTCCAAGTGTCAGGCTGTTTCCCAGAACTCAGGAGAGTGTTATTACTTAAGTTGGTTAAATACAATTTAAGCAAACTTATTGCTTCTTAACACTGTTTTTTGACCTTGACTGGATGTAATCTTCCGTAGGTGAGGGGGAAAAAAAGATTAATTTTGTTTAGTTTACTACTCCGTTTTATTTTTGTACATAACCCTGTGAACTGATATGATTCTCTTATTATTGATGTTCCTCTGCTAGAAAGTTACGTGAGAGTCTAAAGCTTCTGTGAATGAGCATGGATAAACTAGGGTAATATCTAAATTTGTAATATCTAGATTTTGAGATTGGGACATGACGTTTAAACCCAAAGGTCTCTGTCTCCATCTGTTGGAATGAGAAGGGCATAGCCCCAATGGCTGCTTGTTTGAAGAACCACCACAATGAAACTTAACTTCATTTTGGCTGTGTCTTCATCCACTACTTGCAGTCTAACCCACAGTAGCAACAGCAGTGACTTGGTGTTCTGCTTGTGCCATGGGGGCAGAAAATTTGCCTTCACTGGAAAACAACAATTATGGCAAGACCTCTTCGGGCGCTCAAACGTCTATTCTGCTTCCTTAAAGACAGGCTGGAGTACCTAGAAATGTGACATAAATCACTTAGGATCCAGTCCATCTTCCTTTGGAAGTAGAGGAAACACAGCCTGACCTCAGTAAGAAATAGAACTGGGCCTTAGAAACAGTTGATGTTCTGTCCTACTTGGGACAGACTACACAAACTCCACTCTGGGCATCCCTAACCGGGGGTTGAGTGCAGAGAGGTGCATAAGCCCTCTGGAAGCTCCATTTCAGAAGTTGGTTCTTTGCATTTCTCCTACCAGGAGCCCTTTATCTCCCTGTCCCTGCAGCTCTTTCACCAGGGAGTTCTCAACCTTCACCTCTCTTCACTTGCAAGGAGACACACTGTGGATATCAGAAGAGCTGGCAGGAATCGGGCAACCTCTCCACAATGCCTGCATGGTCCCGTGCCTGCTCCGGGGAGGGGTTCCACCTCCAGACTTGCAATGTTGCTTCAGGGAGGACGTTGCATGCTGCAATGATACAACAGGGAGTTTCCTGGGTCTATCTGTTGGAACCTTACTCTGTGATTTGGATGAAATGTGTTTACAAATGTTGACGGAGTAGGTCACAATATTCTTCCACTCATATGAGAACGGGAGAATACTATTTATAAATATTGGGACAGGTTCTTCTCTTCCAGTGATAGTGATAGTTATATCCATGTAAAAGGCAAAGAAAATGATTTTTTTCAGTTGTCAGATATCTTTATATCACATTAGGGAATTCAAAATTGTCCAGTGAAAAAAGGATTTCAGGAAATGCATGAAATCAAACATGAGGAATTAAGGGACAGGTTTTGACAGGTTCCCAAAATGCATATGGACACCAACTAGGATTTTCAGTGGTACTCATTTAATATGTGTGTGACTTTTTTGGATGCTTCGGGAAATTGAATCACCTCTCTGGTCACTATGTGCTTAAACACCTATAAAGATTGTCCCTGTATATGTTCAATAAGAAAACTTCAGCATAGTAATCATTTGATTGTGAACCTACCTTGAAATCACTTGAGTTTGTCATCTAATTCAGTAGGGATCTGAGAATTTCAGAGGTTAGTAGGCTAACCCCACGTTCTTCTGTGTGAGTGTTATCTTTTGCTAAGTTTTCTTCCCTTCTGTAGGAGAGGTTGCTGCTGCATGGCAGCAGGCGTGCCAAGGCTCCTGGCAGGCGAAGCGGCCGTTCCAGACGGTAACTTGCTCGTTGCCAGAGACCCTGGCTCCTCCGAATTGCCCTGGTTGTGCTAGGCAGAGGAGTCCTGCAGGGCTAGCACAGCAGCAGCCTTTGCAGACTGTTTGGTCATTTCTTGTTCCTTGCTGTAATGGGTCTGGTAGGGATCTTCATCCCTTGGGATTCCCGTTTGAGTTAGTAGGTTGGAAAGTAGTTTACTAGAAGGTTGGAAAAGGAAAGGTTGGACGTGGTGCATAGGGACATGGTTCAGTGGGTGACACTGGTGGTAGGAGGATGCTTGGACCAGATGATCTTGGAGGGCTTTTCCAACCTTAATGATTCTGTGATATTTTTAACAGTAGAACTGAGTTCTGCTTGGACCGGTGAGGATTTGGTATGCTTGCATAGAGCTGCAGACCTTCCCTGTGTCCCTCGTGCTTCTAATCAGCACTTAAAGAGGTCAGGGCTCTGGGAGCAAGGAGCATTGCTCTGGCTTGGTGTCCATGCCTTGTCTTGGACTTGCTAGCTGCTGGCGAAGGGTCTGTCATTTGAAATATTGGAAGTGGTCAGTACTGTCTTAAACAGTTCCATAGCGCTTTTCATTTCTTTGCGGTGTGATATTTTAAGCCACTCGTCCTATCTTGGACTATGTTTTAGAGTTCTTGCATCAGAATTTACCTGAGGGTTGATTTATTTTAGCTTTTCATGGGTACAAGAGTACATTTGGCTCTGGAAAGGACAATGTTCCTTTGACAAACACATTTGACAGGTGTTTGGAACTTCCTGGTTTTAATGTAGTGCTCATTAAGTTAATTAACCATCTGCCTTTGGTTAAGCCACTCAGTACGTATAAGCTCATATCCCATCCAGGGGAGGTTTTATTTCTGTTAGCGAATGGACTCAAGGCTTTCGACTTCCTAACAGGTTATTCAAGAATAGCAGGCCTACCTTAGAGACATGGTTTTCGTCTTGCTCTCAGTAGAAGTCTCTCATTGCTGCTTGAGATGCTGAATGGGCAGCGGGGAGCTCCTAAGACCGTTCTCTGGTTTGACAGTGGTGCAGTTGGTGGAAAGGTGCTGGCAATACTGAGTGCAAGAGTGCTGTGGATTCACAGACTATATATTCAGCCACACAAATATACACTATGACAGTGTAATATATATATTAAAAAAAAGGCTAGGAAGAAGGTTGCCAAAAGAAATTTTGAGATGGCAGGTTTAAAACAAAGCTGACATTTTCTCATGTGCTGCATGAAGCTAGAACTCAGTTTCAGAGGACACTGAAGGCAACCAAATTTTACATAGATCCAAAATCTGAATACAGGAGTCAGCAAAAGGAAAATTCATCCATGCTGTCATGGAGATGTGCGGCTTGTGTTGTGCTGGGGGAACCTCTCAAGCCTGTGGCTTGACCATCCTCTACCTGCAGGAAGCAGGGACTGGCCGTGCACCCAAGCCATGCACCTTGATCCTTCGCTGCTGGAGAGGAGATGCTGGCGTGGCTGAGCCTGTCGTGTGGCGTGCCAGTGCCTTTTCTTGTAGCAATGCTACATGGTGGTGGTCCCTTTTTGGGACAAGGTGTTTCTCTGAAGCAGGAGCGGGGTCTGGGAGCAAGGAGCCCACTGTCAAGCTCTGCCCTTGGGGTGCAGCGGTGGGTGCAGACCAGGCTGCCACCCCTGCAGGCTTCACCTGCTGGGAAGCTGCCGCCACGCTGCTTCAGAGGAGGAGCTGCCTCTCCTAGGCTGGCTTTATGCTTGGTGGTATTTTTATTCCTCATATAGATTTCAAAACAAACCAGAGTCGTTGTTGCTTAGCTACCGCTCTGGAGTGATGGGCTCTCACCATGTTGCAACTCAAATCTTAACGTTGCATTTTTTGCTTGTTACGGTCTATTTTTGCTGGCCGGCGTTTTATGCAGACACTTCTGGCACTTCTTGATCAGCAGGAGTGGGAGGGCTGCGTGCTGCTGGTTTGAAGCGATAGAAAGGAGGCTGGCTTGGGAGGGTCTGGGAAAGGTCCTGCATCAGGAACCTCACAGTAATACACGTGTGAGTTTGCTGTAGGCTCAGGGATGATAATTCTCTGTTGGAACTCTGTGCTTGGGGTGTCTGTATTCTTCTCATTACTGCTTGACTGCTAAGAATAGATTCATTTTGCATAGGGATAAACACCAGAAAGCAGAATGTCTGACTCCCATCTTCAGGGCTTCTTGAATGAGAAGCTGTAAATCAGCATTTTGGAGTCATGATGCTGCTTACTGCAGAGCGCAGCAAAACGGAGCTAGCTCAGATGTTTATGCAATCAGAAATGAACATGAAAAAAATCT